CAAATTTTATGAAATGTTCATTTTTCTAAATTTCAAGGGGTATCTTGCTTCAAGCCAATGCACTTTGCAAACTGCATTAACTTTGATTTTTTAAGAATTGGAAGGTTCATATGATATAATGGAAAATCGTAAACTGAGGCGACGCCAATCCGAAGCAAACGCCCCTATCGAAATTGGTAATTTTTTACAGGGTAATCTACAAGTGTTACATCGGAATCCCGACACTGATTTTCTGAGCGATCTTGGTTTCTTGCTATAAGAAATCCAATTTTAGATTTCAATTTTTTGCTAATATAGTACTGTTAAGGCATTGCTCGTCTCAGTGTTATTCTGTTTACAGATGGAAATTTACTGAAGCAGCTGCGGCCACGTTTGGTGGATTCGATCAACCAGCAGGGTATGGTGTTTTTTCTGCTGGGCAATATCCTTACCGGCCTAATAAATATGATTATCAGAACAACCGCTGTTAAGAATGATTATCTAGCTACCGCCATTATTGCTACTTATCTGTTCATTTGTAGCATCGTTGCTTCCGTGCTCACCATGTGGCTCGAGAAAAGAAGACAGTCGAAACATTTTTTGGTACAGATTTGCCCTGAAACCACTTGAAAACAGCTCTGATATTTGGTTCGGTTTCAGATTTGAGAATATCATCCAAAACCAAATCTGCCACCCAATCCTTACGGCAAAATACTTCCAACCCAAATAATACCTCTTTGAAAAAAAAGGCAACACTGGCCCTACTGTGCAGTTGAACGACTAACAGTCCTCCAATCGTAACCAGTTAACTTGGCGGTCAGTACTGGCCGAAGGCGTACAGTTCAGGACCATTATTGGCAAAAACTGCGTTTCGAATGTGAGAGCATTCCCGTAACATCACTGAAATTGGATCACCACAAAGAGATCACCCGGGCGCTCTTGCTAATCCTTCCAGTCATTTTTTTTGCCTTAGTGGTATACATTCTCACTGACCACTGCGCACAAGAGCCATATCTAGTAAATTTTAACAGTGCATTTGAGCATTCATATGAGTGCTATTTTTTCGACAGGATTTTACTGCCTACCACAAAACGCCGCCCGATTTATAAAAGCGGTACTCTAGTGTCACTGAAATGTACCCACCCGGCCCGGTGTAATTGTGCCTGGATTTTTGAATCTTGAATCCAATACTTCAGAATCGCCATCTTTGCCACGTAAGTCTGGTTAGGTTAGCTCCTTGCCAGTCATCATCCACTCCCTTGCATTTACCGCTAACAGCATCTCTGCTTTAGCATAATCATTTCTTGAGACAATTTTGTGTACTTCGCAACTTGTATTACGATCTATACACGGTCAACTTCATGTTTTTATAAGCTTCGATGATTGCCATCTACTTGCGATCCAGCAGTCATTGCCTATTTGAGTTTCGATGGTCATTGGCACTTTTGTCTTTTCTATCTACACGATTATTGTGAATAGGCCTTTTTTTTCATTTAAGTGTTGTGGGAATTTAAAGCTAATTCCCATTATGAAAATGTGTTACGTCTGTCAAACCAGTAATTTATCAGTGTTGCACAAAAATTTCACACAAACGGGTTAAATATACGCAAAACCGTTCTGAAATGAAATCTTCACATCCCCCAACACAGATCTTGGCATTAACTTTAGCCGATTTTCCAAAATCCTTTTTTCCAAAAATATGGGAAATCACAAACTTCTCTAGTCCCCCACGCTCCAGCTATTGTGTTGAATAGTTGTATAGTACTGACTTATTCTCACCAGAGGCCCATTATACAGAAACTATATCACTGCAGGTAACTGTAAGCTAATTTTAGCAGAAATCAATTTGCACGTAAGAAAAGATCGACCTAGTGCCAATATAGTATCGTATATTCAAAATCACTATGTCCAAAATCACTATGTTCAAAATCAATGTAGTATATTTTATCGTTAATTACAGTTTTTTTTTACACATATTCCTCGTCTACTAAATGAATCTCACATAAAATTTTTGTTCAGTTTAAGGAAAATGACGATAAAACTGTACGTGTTGAGGAGCGCTTGTGCAAAAAATAAAATAACTCTGTATATCTGAAAACTGCTCTGTGTCATTAATTCAAAAATCAGAAAAAAAGGCACAGATTTCAGCCGGAATTCTGCAAAACTTAGTACATCATGCATTCTTTTATATTCAGTTACAGTACATCGGATATTCAAACGAGTCAATCAGAGTTTAAAAAAAGCCGCACCAAATTCTTCTAATTATGGGTGAGATAACGTGGTGTTGCACTGAATTTTGCATAACCCTTGATCACTTTGTTGACTGCCTCCAGGAAATCTTTTTCGGTTGCTAGTTTTCTTCTTGCACGGATCGCAAACATACCCGCCTCCGTACAAACGCTCCTAATTTCAGCACCTGAAAAGAATGTTTATAAACACCGTAGGTTTATAGGGTACTGAATTAATAAATGATTTAAAGAAAAAACTGCAGTAATTTTCTAACTTTTGCGTCACGAATTTTGCACATCCGAAGGAGAAATCATAGCGAAAACCTACATTAAACTGATATGCAAAAGGCTTCATTGCCGCCGTAAATCTGAGAAACATAGGACATAGGACCTCTTTTTATAAGCCCAGCTAAACAAATGAAGACCTATCTGAATTTTAAGTCTTGCAAGTGCAGGACAAAAGAAATGCTAATAAACATCAAGACACACACAGAAACACAGACACAGACACACACACACACACACACACACACATATACACACACATACACGCAATTATATATTTTTAATGCACACTAGGTAAGCACTCACAAGCCATTTGAAACAGACGTTTTCGTTTTTGTCGACTGCATTATATGTTATAACAAAGCATATATGCATCACAAATGGCAAATAAGAATTTATGCCTTAGCACAGCATTATGATTACCGTACTTAAACTTCTGCGGCCCCTTCTGAAGTTCTTAAACTTCATCATCCTTAATGCAGATCAAGGAATCTGGGATCAAAATGCACCTCAGCACCGGTATTTTGCAGGTCGAAAAAAACTTATAGAAGATTAATTATTCCTTACTATAAGCAATATCATGCAAGTCCAACTAGTGTTATACTTGTAGCAAAAATCAGCTGCTAACATAACCTGCTCTACAACATAACATAGGTGAGCATCAGTTGTTGCAAAAAACCCGCGAAAATCCGGCAAAGAAACAGCCACAAAGAAGATGTGGTTGCTTATGGGAGGCAGACAAGAAAAGAAAGACGTATTTTGCCTTGAAAGGCAGATATACAGTAGATTTGCTGCCAGGTTGACTATGGAGCAGACGACCGGTGGTAAAGTGGGTAGCACACCTTGTCAAGAAGTGAAAAGGAATGGTTCGATTCCATCTCGGTTCATAACCACTTCGAAAAAAAGGGACTTCATTCATGGTATATCTGTCCCAACACTTTCCGCGGACATTCACATCCTGGAATGTAAAACCACTTACCGGTACTATTCGGGCAAAGACGTGCCAATAAATCATAACGAATATCTCGCTCCACACTCATCTGTTTTGCATGAATTTTGAGGATATGTGTACGGCCTGCTAAATCCGGTAAAGCAAATTCCACTTTTCGATCCAGACGACCGGGCCGTACCAGTGCAGGATCGAGGGTATCCGGCCGATTGGTTGCCATCAGAACCTAAAACGAAAGAGCATTTGTGATTTTTGAAGACAAAAATAAAAGCTTATGGGCATAATTTTTTTTTTACCAAGACGGCCTTAGTCGCTAGATCACACATACTTTGATATTGCCACGAGGATCGAAGCCATCAAGCTGATTGATAAG